GCCAGGGCAGACGGGCAGGCCATTGGGAAATGTGGCGGCTCCTGCTTAACCCTCACACGGCCATTGGCTAGGTGCGGGGACCAGGGGAGCGACCCTAGGAGGCCCATCCGTGGGCGGGGAGTTCCCAGAGTCCCCAGCCCCTCCCGGCTGCTCCAAGGTGTATTACTCCCCCCCACCCCCCCAGGCCTGCTGGCTAACTCTGCAGGCTGGGCTGGAGCGAGGCGGGGGGGGGGGGGGGGGGGGAGGAGGAAGAGGCCCCTGTTGCCCTCAGAGCTGCACCATGGCCCACCTTGGACCCTGAAGGTGGTGGCTTCCGGATGCACGCAGCGCCCCCCCCAACCCCCGGTCTCACGGCGTGCCATCCACACCCAGGGCACTGGCCACCCGGCAGGAGGGGGTTAACGGAGCCCAGGGCCAGCAGAGGAGTTGGCCTGTGACAGGTGCCGGCTGCACCAGAGGTGGGGCAATCAGAGGGCAGGCACAGCCAGCCCCCGCAGACCTGCGTCTGCTCTGCATGCGGGATGGCCCTGAGGAAAGGTGAGGCTCCCCGTATCCGTCCACCAGGCTCTGCAGCCCCTACACACGGCTCGGCTCTGGCTGGGCCTGACTTTTGGGAGCCCATGGGGGAATGGGGCGGCAGGGGTGTGGGGGGGCTCAGCTGAGCCTGGCCCCAGAGGGTCACCTTTTCCTCTTCCTAAGGGCCCAGAACAGCAACACAAGGGAGGCAGGGGGTGTCATCTTCCACCCCAAACCAGGGCCCATGCCCTGGGGACCCCATGGAGGGCGAAGGCCTGCTGCCCTCCGAGCCTCTTGGAGGCCAAGCCACTGGCGTCTTGTTCCACCTCAGGGCCTGGGCCCATCCAGTTGGGTGCGGATTACCCTTCTGCGCTGCCTTTGCCTCACCGAGACCCCAAGTTCTGCAGGGCAGCCCCATGGCCACTGGAGGTTCTGGGGATTGTTGCTGGGGAGCGTGGCACCCTTTGTCCTGAAACAAAACCTCACCCCAGGGAGTTGATGGTCTTGAGCCAATGGTCTCGGGCCCCTCCTTGCCGCTGCGGCCGGCACCGTCTCTCTCCTCACCACGGTGCCGGGCCAATGGTGCAGGCTGAATGCATTTGGTTCGCTGTTCAGCCTCCAAAGGCAACAAGCGCATACCCAGACTGTCTCCAGAACATTCTCTCGCTCATGCCTTCCTCTAGGCCAGTGGCCGCCAGACTGCGGCTAGTGAGCCCCATGGGGGACCTGCAGCTTGCCGCTCTGTTGACTGATGAATTTGCCGACCACTGACACAGACTCTTGATTCCAATAATTACAGGCTTTTGTTCCTTGTGAGTAAGCCCCTATCCCAGTGGTCAGCAAACTCCTTAATCAACAGAGCTGCAAACCGCGGCTCAGCTTGGCAAGCCGCAATTTGCCAACCGCTGCTCTAGAGCCACCTGGCAGCCTGGCCCGGTTGACTGTCCCTCAGGGACACAGATGGACACAATGGCCTAGTCACCAGGTGGCCAGCCCTTAGTTTTCTCTGGAACAGGTACTGCCCGTCAATGCTGTGATTGTTCTGAGCTGGAGAACATCCCAGTTGACCTGCCTGCCTCCTGCCTCCTGCCTCCTTGGGGCGATGCATCCTCAGTTCACACCTTTCTCTAGTCCAACCCGCAGAACCTCCTCTCAGCGGCTGCTGTGGAACGGGGCCAGGTTAAATGGTGGCCCACGTGTGCGGGCTGAGGCCCGGACGTCTCTCCGTCTCTCTCACTCCGGGGTTCACACCCCGCGCCCCTTCGCGCCACCTCTCCCACGTTCCTCTCCCTGCAGGAGGCCTGGCCCTGGCAGTGCTGCTGGCCTCCTGGGCAGCGCTGGGCCCCCGGGGCCTGGAGGGAGCGGAGCCTGGAGCGCCAGGGGACACCGAGGGCCTGCAGTGCCCAGCCGTCTGCGCCTGCGGCCACGATGACTACACGGACGAGCTCAGCGTCTTCTGCAGCTCCCGGAACCTCACGCGGCTGCCGGACGGCATCCCCGACGGCGCCAGGGCCCTGTGGCTGGATGGCAACAACTTCTCCTCCGTCCCCGAGGCCGCCTTCCGCAACTTCTCCAGCCTGGGCTTCCTCAACCTGCAGGCCAGCGGGCTGGCCAGCCTGGAGCCCACGGCGCTGCGGGGCCTGCAGAACCTGTACCACCTGCACCTGGAGCGGAACCAGCTGCGCAGCCTTGGGGCTCGCACCTTCCTGCACACGCCGGCTCTCGCCTCGCTCGGCCTCAACAACAACCTCCTCAGCAGGGTGGACGGGGGCGTCTTCCACGGCCTGGCCAACCTCTGGGACCTCAACCTGGGCTGGAACAGCCTGGCCGTGCTCCCCGACACCGTGTTCCGGGGCCTGGGCAGCCTGCGGGCGTTGGTGCTCGCCGGCAACAAGCTGACCTACCTGCAGCCCCCCCTCTTCCAGGGCCTCGGCGAGCTCCGCCAGCTGGACCTGAGCAGGAACGCCCTGCGAGCCGTCAAGGCCAACGTCTTTGTCAAGCTGCCCAGGCTCCAGAAGCTCTACCTAGACCACAACCACATCGCCGCCATGGCCCCGGGCGCTTTCCTGGGCCTGAAGGCTCTGCGCTGGCTGGACCTGTCCCACAACCGCGTGGGGGGCCTCCTGGAAGACACCTTCCCGGGCCTGCTGGGCCTGCACGTCCTGCGCCTCTCGCACAACGCCATCGCCGGCCTGCGGCCCCGCACCTTCCGGGACCTGCACTTCCTGGAGGAGCTGCGGCTGGGCCACAACCGCCTGCGGCAGCTGCCGGACAAGGCCTTCGAGGGCCTGGGCCAGCTGGAGGTGCTCACGCTCAACGACAACCAGATCCAGGAGGTCAAGGCGGGGGCCTTCCACGGCCTCGCGAACGTGGCCGTCATGAACCTCTCCGGCAACTGCCTGCGGAGCCTCCCGGCGCGCGCGTTCCAGGGCCTGGCCAGGCTGCACAGCCTGCACCTGGCGGGCAGCTGCCTGGGCCGCATCCGCCAGCACACCTTCGCCGGCCTCTGCGGGCTGCGCCGGCTCTTCCTCAGGGACAACGGCATCGCGGCCATCGAGGAGCAGAGCCTGTGGGGGCTCCCCGAGCTCCTGGAGCTGGACCTCACCTCAAACCAGCTGACGCAGCTGCCCAGCCAGCTCTTCCGGGGCCTGGGCAAGCTGGAGTACTTGCTCCTGTCCCGCAACCGGCTGTCGGCGCTGCCGGCGGAAGTGCTGGGGCCCCTGCAGTCCACCTTCTGGCTGGACGTCTCGCACAACCGCCTGCAGGCCCTGCCCGAGAGCAGCCTGTCGCCGCTGGTGCGGCTGCGCTACCTCAGCCTCAGGAACAACTCGCTGCAGACCTTTGTGCCGCAGCCCCCCGGCCTGGAGCGCCTGTGGCTGGAGGGCAACCCCTGGCACTGCGGCTGCCCCCTGCAGGCCCTGAGGGCCTTCGCCCTGCAGCACCCCACTGCTGTGCCCCGCTTCGTCCAGGCCGTGTCCGAAGGGGACGACGGCCAGCGCCCCGTGTACACCTACAACAACATCACCTGTGCCGGGCCCCCCGGCCTCTCGGGGCTGGACCTGCGGGACGTTGGCGAGGAACACTTTACCCACTGCTGACCCGAGGCCCGGCCCGGCCGCACACCGCCCTGGAGTCAGGACAAGCCCTCGCCGTCCCCGGAGCCCGGCGCGCACCCTACCCCTCGGCTCCCGGAGGCCAGGCCCCACAATGCTTACTTGTTGGGAGGTCTCTTCTCAGGTCCTGCGGTTCGCTGGCCTGGCACCTGAGGGCCAGATCGGGAGGATGGGGACCAGTCCTCCAGGCTTCACTCATTAAAAGCAATCGAATAAACGTGTGTGACCACTGGGATGGAACGTGGGGGAGGGAGGGAGCATCAGCACGGGCTTCTGGGAACGCTCCTGCTGCCAGCCCAGCCCAGCCCAGCCCAGCCCGTGGCTGCCTCGGGGCCTCCCACCCTCCCTCTCCCCTCCGAGCTTAGATTCTTCATGCTCTCCCACCCCGGGCCCCCGGATGCCACCTCCACCGAGGAGCGGAGGGCACTTACTCAGGTCCTCGTCAGGCCGTGTTCTCTCGGAGGCAGTCCGGCCCGGAGCTGGAGCACAGCAGAGGCAGCCTCAGCTCCAGGAGGCCCAGCAGCTGGTGTCAAGCGGGGCCAGAGCAGGTGCCAATCCTTTCAGACCGCCTGCTCCCGGCCAAACCCCTTAATGGCCCTCCCTTCTACCCCCTCCTCTTGGCACAGGCCCCTCCCTCAGCACCCCAACATCCATGGAAGTGGTACCACAGGCTGCCCCTCTGGACTCCCCTGCCACCCCCACCCCAGAGCGGCTACGTCTCCTCTGCTGGCAGCCCTCCTTCCCTCGGGAAGAGCGGCCCCGCCCCTTGCTCTGCTTTGCAGAGTGGACTGCCCTCCTGCCTTCCTGGGACGGACTGCGTTTCCCTCCTGTTCTCAGCTCTGCCCTGGGTCCCGGTGTGGAGGCCAGCTGCGGCCCCCGTGCACATGTTTCTGACACATCACATTCCTCTGCAAACACGTCCTCACCCCAGTCCTCAGGGGCCCACCGATAACCCGGGACACGCGCTGAACGCTGTCTGCTATGACACACCACCAGTCATACACCGAGGTTGGACAAAGGCGGAATGGCCTAGAAACGTCAGACTTATAACCCCGGTGGCAGGACACATTTAATCGTGGGCTCTATAGTTAGTACCTTACAGGGTGCTCCCGTCCTCAATCACAGCCCCTCACAGCCCTGCCAGCAACCAGGCACGTGAGGGGGACAACCAAGTCCCCAGCCAACTTCCAGACCCACGAGCTCGGTGGACAATGCGGAGGTACCAGGAGCGGCCTGTCCGTCTGGGGCAGGTGAGGACCACGGCGTGAAGAGCGAATGCGCAGGCACCAGCGCTCAGGCCACGGCACTAGGACCGCTCGCTATCCCCAGGGCCTGCACCAGACCAAGCCAGCAGAACCTCTCGGTCAGCGGCTCGGTGCCCAGCTGCTGCTGAAGCACAAAACGTCTCCCAAGGGCCCGGGCAGGGGGAGGGCCACAGTGACAGCCCCCAGGCCAGCCCTGCAGGTCCCAGGAACTCTGCTGAGTCTCTGAGCTGCATCCGTGGCGCCAGGAGATGCCTTGGTCAGGAGAGCTGAGCAGGTGTCTCCAAGACCTTCTGGGCTATGGCGGAGAGGGCGTGAAAGGCAGGGCTGTGGGGAAACTCTTGGATGAAGTCTCGGCCCTCCTCCAGGCTCCTCGTGAGCTTGGGGTCCAGGGGCACAGAGCCTGCAGAGACAGAGGGAAGGGGGAAGGTGCTGAGCACGAGGCTGGGAGGCCATGTCCACACCCGCCCTCTGGGAGCAGCGGCTTTGGCCCGGAGCGGACACCCATCAGCCTCGCCCGGACGGAGGTACCTACTCCGATGGCCACCAGCCAACCCAGCAGGGCCAGCTCTGCTGCCGTGGACACTGCCCAGTTGCAGAAAGTGCAAGGCAAGCACTGGGGACACGTGGCCAGGCACACGTGTTCCCCACCCGCCGCCCCATAAAGGCGCTCCCAGAGCCAGTGACGCCCGCTTCTGCTCTCCGTGAGCATCCGGCACATCAGCCTGGGCTGCCGCTCAGGCCTTCCCCTCAGGCTGCTGCTTTCCGGGTGGTCAGCAGCGGTCAGCATTAGCAATGAACTGATGCCTGCAGTTCGAGGCGGACAGGTGGACACGGCTACTGTCGTTTCCCCATGAGGGGCAGTGGGCACGGGCAGGTGGGACCACCGAGCAGAGGCCAAGGCAGCCCTGACCACTCACCTAGGAAGGGCACTCCGGCGTGCCTGGCCAGCTCCTCGCCGCCTCCCCGGGAGAAGACGTTGGTGCACTCCTAGGACAGAGGCGCAGGGTCCGCCTGAGGGCTCTCTGCGCCCAGGGAGCAGGATGGGGGGAACGGCAGCATCTTCTGCCCTCCCCCGCCCTCTCCCACTTCACCCCACAGCCCACACGAGTAATCGGCCCACGCAGACTCACGGCGCAGTGCGGGCAGACGAAGCCGCTCATGTTCTCCACGACGCCGATCACGCGCAGCCCCGTCTTCTTACAGAAGGTCAGCTCCCGCCGCACGTCCCCCACAGACACCGCCTGGGGGCCAGGAGGAGGCAGGCGGGCCAATGGGACTCCCGGACACTCGGCCCAGAGCACCGGGAGCAGGGAGAAGGCGGGGTGAGGTGGCACTGGAAACGGGAGGACGCTCTGCCGTACCTGCGGCGTGGTGACCACGATGGCCCCCAGCGGGCTGTGGGGCCGGAGGGCTTCCACGGCGGCCATGTGCTCGTCCGAGGTTCCCGGGGGCGTGTCCACAACCAGGTAGTCCAGCTGTCCCCAGGCCACGTCAGCCACAAACTGCTTTATCAGAGCTGAAGGCCCAGGGGGGTCAGGTGGCAGGTCTCAAAAGGGGGCTCCCACACCCGCCGCCTCCACACCGCTCCTCAGAATGTGGGGGGGCACCATGCAGCAGGGTCCCTGCCCTCACAAGCACCACCTTCGTCCCAGCTGCTGGGCCACCTACTCTGCAAGCCGCCTGCTCAGGCCTCAGCGGAGGCCAGTAGAGTGACCCTCCTGGGGCACCTGTGCCAAGCCTTGGGGACTCCCCAGCTTTCATGGCCTGAGAAACGATGACCTGAGTGGACAGCTCCCACCCTCTCCTCAGCAGGGGCTTAATGACACCTGCTGGTGCGGAGGCACCGGGGCCCCATCTTGCTGCCACCCCCCTCACCCCCCCAACGCACACAGGTGGGCTCAGGCCTGAGCATACCCGCCCTTCCTGCCAAGGGGAAGAGGACTCCATAGCCAACAGCCACAAAGATGCCTCGCTCTCACGGCCCACCCCCGCCACCCGGGCACCGCCACGCCCAGGCGCCACCGGCCAAGAGAGCAGAGGGGGCCCTTGCTCCACTTCTTTTTTAAGCAGTTTTTTTTAAAAAAAATTTTTTTTATTTTATCAATTTTTTACAGAGGAAGAGAGAGGGATAGAGAGCTAGAAACATCGATGAGAATCTTCGATCAGCTGCCTCTTGCACACCCCCTACTGAGGATGTGCCCGCAACCAAGGTACATGCCCTTGACTGGAATCGAACCTGGGACCTCACAGGCCGACGCTCTATGCACTGAGCCAAACCGGTTACTGAGCCAAGCAGGTTTTTTTTTTTTTTTTTTTAAATATATTTTTACTGATTTCAGAGAGGAAGGGAGAGGGAGTGATAGAAACGTCAATGATGAGAATCATTGATCGGCTACCTCCTTCACACAACCTGGACATGTGCCCTTGACCTAAATCGAACCTGGAATCCTCAGTCTACAGGCCGCTCTGTCCACTGAGCCAAACTGGTCAGGACTCCCGTTTGGCTTTTTAGCTGAGCGCCAAGGGAGGCTGAAGCTGAGGGTGTCCCGCCTGGGCATTACCGTTCTTCTTGGGGCCTCTCCACACCACGGCTTCGTCCGGCTTCTCCAGCAGGAAGCCCACGGACATGAGGGAGACGGTCTGCTCCTGGTCCACGAAGACGGGCACCCAGCCGCCGTCACACTGGTGCACGGCCCTGCCCTGGGCCTGCAGCATGCGGGGGATGCTGGGGCCACACAGGTCCACATCGAGGATCCCCACCTGCAAGGAGCCAGGAGGCCCGCATGGGCTGTGGGGCCGCCCGAGGCAGGAAGGAAGCACGGCTCCCCGGGGCGTCCGCCCAGCGGGGAAGGGGCCGGGTCTGTGGCTGAGGGCAGGCGGTGCTCACCTTCTTGCCTGCGTGACGCAGGGCCAGGGCCAGCTCCGTGGAGATGGTGCTTTTCCCGACTCCCCCCTTTCCCGAGAGGACGAGGATGATGTGCCGGACGCCAGCCAGGTTTCCAGGCTCTGCTCAGGACAAGTGGGGAGACCCTTCACTGCTCACTCCCCGGGCACCGTGCACTCCCTGTGCCCTGAGACCTGCCCCCTCATCCCAAGGCCATCCTGCAGGCCAGACCTGACCTTCGGTTCCTCCAGTGCTGCTGCTCCCACTCCTGCCTAAAATGACCCAGATTGCTCTTTTTTCTAGTATGCACATGTATAACACGCATGCGCGCGCGCACACACACGCACGCACACACGCACGCAATAAGCCAGAATGCTGGCTTCCAGCTGATTCCAATGGAGACTAATGCAAATTGGGTTGTTATAGCCACGACACCTGTGCTTGGGCGGCTCCCACACCGCACACAGGACCAGGTGTGATTTTCAGGCACCCAGCCCGCTCCTCTGGAGTCAGAGCAGCACTCAAGGCAGCCTTGGCCTCCAGTTCTCAGGACGGACCCTTATAGTCTGGGGACTCCGAGCAGCTGCCATCATGGATGTGTGTGTGAATGTCAACGTCACCTGGCTGCCAGCCGTGCCCTAGGAAACCCTGGGTACAAGGGCAGGGGCACCCTGTGACTCCCACACAGGTCCTGAGACCAGAGTTGTCTCTGTGGACAGCCACCAGCCACTGACTCAGCTCCTCTTCCTCCCAATGAGCCCAAATGTTACCCAACCAACCCCTGCACACACAACCCTCCGCCCCATGTTCTCGCTCCAGCCCCCTCAGGACCTTGCCCTGCTTCCAACAAGCAGCTCTCTCCACCTCCCTCCCCACACTCAGACAGGGCTCAACAACCAACACGGAAATGGGTCCAGTCCTTCCTCCTGACCCACCTCCATGTCCAAAGCCCGCACTTCCAAAGCCTCCCTGGGAGGAACTCAGAGGGCGCCTGCCCTGGCTGTGGGGCAGGTCCTTGTCACCAATGCATTCAAGTGCCTTTCCTAGGTGTGCTTCTGGCACCTAGGGCCGGCACATCCCCGGCCTGGGTCACTGCCTGCAAACATGGAGCCCCAGCCCATGGCTTTAGGTCCCCCCTGCAGCAATGTAAAAGGTTAATTACTTAGCCCTGGCCGGTTTGGTTCAGTAGTTAGAACGTCGGTCCTCGGACCTAAGGGTCCTGGGTTAGGGTCAAGGGCTTGTACCTCAGATGCTGGCTCAATCCCCAGCCAGGTTCAGGGCACCTGCGGGAAGCAGCCAATCAATGTGTCTCTCACATTGATGTCTCTCTCCCCCCCTCCCCATCTCTCTAAAAATGAAAGGAAACATATTCCTGGATGAGGATTTTTAAAAAGGTTAGTTTTTTAACATCAAAAGGTATCCAGGAGTCAACTTCACTTTTGTTGGGGTGGAAACACAAGAGCCAGATCTGGATCTGGTTTAGCCAAGCTCTTAATCCCTTTCCTTACTGGTGGGAGTGGGAAACTTTATCCGAGACCAAACAGGCACTCAGCAGATAACTGGAGCTGAACTTCTCACCCAGAATCCTTAGGGGTTAACCACAAAACATTTTACCTCTAACTAAACCGAAAGTTTCTAAATAGACGAACCCAGATGCGAGGGCCTACTAGGTGTGAGCCGTGCTGAAGGGGCAGGAAAAGCTGTGTCTCCCCTCAGGAGGAAGGGAGGAGCACCCTGACGGATAAGCCAGGGTCAGCTTCATCCTCAAGCCCAACCAATGACGATGACTACCCGTATTTTCCGGCGTATAAGACGACCCCCTAATTTTACAGTTAAAACATAGGTTTAGGCCTATATTCGCTGTATAAGACTACCGCCCACTTCCGAGGCAACACCAGTTCTTTTTTAATAGACCGCCTCTCTGACTCTGGCCAATCTGAGCAGGCGTTTTACTATTGAGTAGAACACAGTGTAGCTTCGGGTACAGAACATGTATAATTTGCATGCATAAAAAGCCTGCTCGGATTGGCTGAGTTAGAGAGGCGGTCTATTAAAAAAAGAACTGGTGCGAAACCGGTTTGGCTCAGTGATAGAGCGTTGGTCTGCGGACAGAAAGGTCCCAGGTTCGATTCTGGTCAAGGGCATGTACACTGGTTGCGAGCACATCCCCAGTAGGGGGTGTGCAAGAGGCAGCTGGTCGATGTTTCTCTCATCGACGTTTCTAGCTCTCTAGCTCTCTCCCTTCCTCTCTGTAAAAAATCAATAAAATATATTTTAAAAAAAGAAAAAAAGAAAAAGAAAAGAACTGGTGTTGCCTCAGAAGTGGGGGGTAGTCTTATATAGCGAATATAGGCCTAAACCTATGTTTTAACTGTAAAATTAGGGGGTCATCTTATACGCCGGAAAATATGGTATTCGATACACTGTACAAGTTTGCAACTCTTCCTACATAGGGCATCTTTCTAGAAAGATGCAAATAACGGGCCAGGCCTCTGGGAATACCCAGGTCCGACCTCTTGGATTTTTACCTGCATTTCCCCCTGGTTAAAAAACCTAACTCTTTTAAAAACTGATCAATCTAGATCTTACCTTGTATAATAGCATAGTTGCCCTTATTCTAAAAACTCGTTTCAGCTGAAACCAGTTTGGCTCGGTGGATAGAGAACCGGCCTGCGGACTGAAAGGTCCCAGGTTCGATTCCGGTCAAGGGCACGTACATTGGTTGCGGGCACATCCCTGTTAAGGATTGTGCAGGAGGCAGCTGGTCGATGTTTCTCTCTCATTGATGTTTCTAGCTCTCTACCCCTCTCTTCCAATAAAATATATTTTAAAAAATAATAAAAAATAAAAATAAAAACTCACTTCAGATTTTTCCCTCTAGTGTCGTTTACAATCTGGTGGACGAATCGAGCTGTAAGAGCTTGGTGCCCAAGGTACCAGACCTGAGGTCTTTTAAAAGATAATGTGGCAAACCCCTAGTTATGAAAACCTACTTCGGTCCACTTGTGCAAACCTATGATACGCGCCCGTATCCGTCCAACAGAACTTTCAGTTTTTCAAATATTAAGGTTTAGAAAGCTAAAATAAAACTCTCACAAATAACTAAAAGTATGTGATGTTCTGGTGTCTTTTTTACCACTCCACATTCAAACGACTTCCTCCTGGTTTCTTGGGTTATCTCCAAATAAAAAAATTATGACATAACCGGGCAGTGTTGTATTTTTAACGACAGCCAGCGCACGTGCTCCGAGTTCCCCCGAATTCACGTTCCCGAGCAGCGCTGCACTTACATGGAAACTTGTGACTTGAGGACGTCACACTCATAAGTACACGTGCGTCTCCGTAACCCTTACATGGCAAATAAGACGACTCGCTAAACACCCAGGGTCGCGACCAACAGCGGCGGGCCGGTCTCTTCCCGCTCCCCGCGGCGCCCGCACACTCACCCGCCACCGCCGCCTCCATCCCTCCCGCAGGGCGCGCCTGGCGTCCACTTCCGGCTCCGTCCGCCGGAAGCCCGAGTGAAGAGCCTTCGGGCCAATGGGCAGCTCGAGCCCGTCCCTTGGCCCTTCTTGATTGGCCCACTCACGCTCCTCTTAGCCAATTAGGTTGCACAAAGGTTACGCAAGTTCCGGCGCGGACGACGGACTGGAGAGGGACCCACTTCCGCGTCAGTGCTGGAGTGTAGGGCCGCCTCTCCAACTCGCCCCTCGTTCCAGGGGCGCGCCGCCTCGTCCCCGGCCGCTTAAGGTGTGAGCAGGGAGGACACCGGATCGGGATTGACAGGTTCCGCAGCCTCCTGGGCAGAGGCGTGTGCCGCCCGGCCCGAGCGCCGGACCCGGAGCGCCCGCCGGGGCTGCACGGCCCGGGCGTTGCGGGGGGCGGGGATTGTTTACGTCTCGCTCTGGAGCGGAAAGTGGGTCACGGCCGCCGGCGGCGCGTGGCGGCGGAGCGGCTCAGGTGAGGGCGGGTGCGTCCGCGCCTCCCGACCCGCCCGGTTCGGGGCCCAGCGGGACCGCCGGCGGGGAGGCCCGGCCGCGCATTTGTTCCTGCGGGCGGCGCCGGGGCCCGGGCGGGCGGCCCGCAGCGCGGGGAGGAGCCTCGGCGCCGCCCGAAACAGAGATTAGTAAGAGGCTCCCGCGTCGGGGCTGGGGACAGTCTCATGGGCCGGTCACTTCGCGCGCTTCGCGGGTCGCCCACTGAGCGCTGCAGCAGCAGCGGATGGTGACTGGGCCGGCCGATTGGCGCCGGCTGCAGAACTGGCTCGGACAGGCAGGTGAAGGAGCCGTGCGGTGGCCTTGCTGGAGGGAGGGGACTCTGGTTCCACAGACGGCGCTCCCAACCCTAGAGAGCATTTCCTGCGTTCATTCACCGACGGCGCTGGCCTGTGCCTGCCAGAATCCTCACTGGGGGACAGTTCCTGTCCTAGAGACTTCACTCCGGGGAGAACTAGGCAGTAGATGATCATACAGATCGAGGTGTGACAGTAAGTCGGCTACGGAAACTGAGAGCCAAAGAGGGGAGGGGAAGGCATTCCGGGCAAAGGGCAGGGAAGAGCTAGCCACTGGGACGCGCGCGGCCACTGAATTGGAGAGGCACAGCAGAACTTGATAGGCTTTGCCTTTTATCCTAGGAAATACGGTAATCTCTGAAGAGTGATAAGATTTAATCTATGCTGGAAGTTTCAAGATTTATTTCAAAAACAGCTTGGCTGTGGAGTGGGTTGGGTGGGTGGAGGGGGACTGGCCTTGTGGAGCTGGTGTGGGGAAGGAGGAAGTCAGGTGGAGGGTGAATGCTATGAGTCTGGCAGTAGGAACCGGGCGGTTCGAGTGCCATTTGTCAAACAACAATGGAGGAGGGGCCAGGTGAGGTTTGAGATGCCTGAGGACATACGGGCGGGCGGTCCAGCTGGGTTCCCTAGGCTGAGCTGAAAGCGGAACTGAGATAGGCATTTGAGAGTCATGGGTGTCTGGATGGCTTTTCACACGCTCTGCGTTTGGTTTATCAAGGTGCTTGGACACTTGGGTGAGGTAGGAGCTTCTGAGGCAAGTTCTGGAGCCCCAGTTTGGCACCATCTGGCTCACAAAATGCTCCACCTTTTCGGGGGATGTGGCACAGCCAGCCACATCCAAATGCGGGGTTGTTGGGGGACCTTCCAGGGTGCCAGATGATTCCTTTGCTGAGAACCTGTGTGTTTTTTTTCTCAGATCCTGTCCACCATGGCCAGGCGCCCCCGGAGCAGCAGAGCATGGCATTTTGTCCTGAGTGCAGCCCACCGAGACGCAGATGCCCGGGCCATGGCTCTGGCAGGGACCGCTAACTGGGGCTATGACTCTGATGGGCAGGTAGGTGGGTACTGCTGGATTAAGGTTCGGAGACCTGGAGGCAGGTCTCCCCCTACCAGAACCCTACTGCTCACCCTGGGCTTACCCTAGTTAAGGATCCACATAGCGCTGGGATGGCAGGGCCTCAGGATAGACGACCCCATTCCTCTCTGCACACTTTCCACTGAAGGGGCTGGCAGTTGGTTCTTTGGTCGGTTCATTCAACAGAATATGTCCATTCCATTTCTTGTAACCAGTTTCCAAAGGTAGCTGTTGGCTAGCTCCATTGCATCCTCTGGGCGGTTCCCCTGCCTGTACAGATATGTGCTCTATCTTTGTGTATATTCAGTGAAACGATCTTTGGTCTTGAAGACCACAATTCTTGTGCCTTCTCCCTCTCAGTTGCTCCTAAGTTCAGGTTGGAATAGCAGCTCAGCGGTTTGTCTCTGCAGGCTGCCTGGTGTACCTGAGGGCTCTGCAGCCAGAGGCTGGCTGTACGGACCCTGGAGCAGCTGAGCTGTGTGGCTTTTGTGCCCACTTCAGGGAGTGGTGGGAAATAGATTTTCAGTCATCTTCCGGAATCTCTCTGACAAGAGCAAGGGGTTGGCCCTGCTCTGAGTCACCTCCACTGCTTCCTGCCGAGGTGATCTTTAGGTGACCTGTCTGTGCTATTGCCCTGCATTCATTCACCGACACTCGGCATGTTTCAATGGCTCAGCTAGGCGTCCTGGGGACGGTGGGTGGGCACCTCTCCTGAGTGAGGGCAGCTAAGACTTGTGGAACTGCCAGGCCTTCGAGGAGAATTAGAGGTGATTGTTCTGAATTGACAGCATCCTGGGGGTTTCCTCAGAATTTCTGCTCAGGCCAGCAAGGTCCTGGCCTGCATTCCTATCCCTTCCCAGCTCCTGTCCTGGCCGTGTGGCCTGGAGCAGTCTCTTTTCCTGTGTCTGTCCCTCCCTCACTGGCTCATCACTCTGGGATGCAGCCAGTGTTGGGAGGCTGGGGTACAAGTGTTTGACACATGCTTGCGGGCAGCCAGCCCGTCACCTAATTGGCCTGGAGTATTTGTGTGGGTGAGCAGGTGGGTGTGTCACCTTGGCATCCTTGAAGGCTAAGCACACACCACCCTTCCCTTCTGGCTTGCCGAGGGGCTGGGTCTGCCCTGCCCAGGTTGACCTCCAGACCTCTGGTCCTGAGATCTGTGCTGCTGGCTCTGCGAAGGGGGTGCCTGTGGCTGGCAGTGTGCCGCCGTGGCTTTGGGAGATCTCTTGGGCCTCCTCCAGCCGCCTTTCTGGGGCTGTCTCTGACTGGTGTTCAACCCTCTCAGCTCAGTCTCTGCAGTTGGCTTATGAGCTCCTGTATGGGCCTTGGGTAGAATAGGAAGAAACAAGGACAAGGTTTTTCCCCTGTAGAGCTTCCGTTTTGGTGGGAGGAGTCAGAGCTACAGGACAGAGACTATCCGGAGCAGGTGAGGAGAAAGAGGACTCATGAGGGCGGGCCAGAAGAGCCTCTTTGAAGTGATATCTGAAAGCTGCCATCCAGGGGCAGAGATCTCCCCCATGACAGGCAAGGGGAGAGGGGAGGGACAGGGCAGGTAAGCTCTGATGGGGTATGTGGCTTCATTCTCAGGGTGGCATGATCTGCCTAGATCTGAGCAAGGTCACTGGGCTGCTTTGCAAAGGGTTTCAAGGAGACAAGAGGAATACCCGGGGTGGAGGCCGGAGCCTAACCAGGATCCTGAGCCAACCCAAGGAGGCTGACGGAGCGGGAAGGCAGAGGCTGGCTGCATCTTCTGGGCTCCGGGCAATGAGACCACGGTTGGCCTGGGGTCCAGAGTCAAGGCAGATATCTAGAGAGGCCAGTGCGCTTCAGAGCAGGAACGACTAGGTGTGCAGAGCATTTCCTGCTGGCTTCCAGGAGAGGGTGGGTCAGCAGTTGCTAGAACCTGACCAGCTCAGCCTGGATCAAGCCGGGGACTGAGCCCCTTAGGTAGACGGCCTGGCCCCCACTGAATGTTATCCTGCTGCAACATGAAACCCCTGGGCCCCTTGGGCTCTGGGGTCGGGGTTAGAACCACTTGGTGAAGGCGCTGCAGTCAGGAATGTGTGCTGACTCTACCACAGCCCAGCTGCTGTCTGTGCGGAGACCCAGGCTTCAGTCAGTCTTGGTCAGGGGGCTCCCTTTCTTCAGGCCATGCTGGATGGGGCCAACTTACTCACGATCTAGAAACTGCCTGGAGAACGATGGCCAAGCTGTGGGCTCATCAGTGCCTGGCCCCCAGGCCCCGTGGCTGTGGAAATGGGGTTGGCCTTTAAGCCCACTCCCGGGAACCCAGCAGCATGGTAGGCCCTCCCCAGTACCTGAGCCGGGAGGAGGTGTCCAGGGTCACTCGGGATGGGGGTGCCGCTGTGCCCTTGGGAATCCCTTTGAGGCTAAACTTGGGGCATCAGCGGTTCACCCATTGGCTTAAGGTGGGTGTTGGGCAGAAGCAAGTAGGGGGAACAGCCTGCCCTTTTTTCTCAGCACAGTGACTCCGACTCTGACCCTGAGTACTCGTCCCTGCCAGCATCCATCCCCAGTGCTGTGCCTGTGACGGGTGAGTCCTTCTGCAACTGTGATAATCAGAGCGAGGCCTCCTTCTGCAGCAGCCTGCACACAGCCGCGCACCGGGGCAAGGACTGCCGGTGTGGGGAGGACGACGAGTGTAAGTGCCTGGCCTGGGCCACTGGGCTTGCTGGGGCAGGTCTCTAGGCCAGAGGAGGAGGACCCAACCTGGCTGTTCCTCTCCTAGATTTTGATTGGGTCTGGGATGACTCGAATAAGTCCTCAGCAACCCTGCTGAGCTGTGACAACCGGAAGGTCAACTTCCACGTGGAGTATAGCTGCGGCACAGCAGCCATCCGAGGCACCAAGGAACTAGGGGAGGGGCAGCACTTCTGGGAGATCAAGATGACCTCGCCTGTCTATGGCACTGATATGGTAAGTGGCAGGAGGGGCTGGAGGGGGGGCACTGCTGGTGCCCCGGCACTGCCCCCCTCTACCTGGCCTGTTGTCTCCAGATGGTGGGCATTGGGACGTCCGATGTGGACCTGGACAAGTACCACCACACGTTCTGCAGCCTGCTCGGCAGGGATGAGGACAGCTGGGGCCTCTCCTACACAGGTATGTGGAGCCCCTTGGGGCAGGCATGCTGGGCGGGGCCCCCGGACATCAGGCTAACCGCTCCGCTCCTGCTGCCCCCTAGGGCTCCTCCACCACAAAGGTGACAAGACAAGCTTCTCCTCGCGGTTCGGCCAGGGCTCCATCATTGGCGTGCACCTGGACACCTGGCATGGGACGCTGACCTTCTTCAAGAACAGGAAGTGCATAGGTGAGGGTGTCAGGATCCCAGGGAGACAGGCCTGTGGGGTGGGGTGCTGCTGAGGTCCTGTAGGAAGCAGAGACGGGCCCAGGCTGAGTGGTCCCAAGGCTTCCCAAAAAGGTATCCTTGAAGAAAGAAGCCCGAGGTCCCAGGGTCTGCAGAGGGTGGGACAGCACGAGGGCACCTTAGTCATCTCAGGAGGATGTCCAAAGGGTGGCTAAGCCCCCACCCCACCCCCCCGGCCCAGGACTCAGGCTGTGCCCCCTCTAGGTGTGGCAGCCACGAAGCTGCAGAACAGGAAGTTCTACCCAATGGTGTGCTCCACTGCGGCCAAGAGCAGCATGAAGGTCATCCGCTCCTGTGCCAGCGCCACCTCCCTGCAGTACCTGTGTTGCCACCGCCTGCGCCAGCTGCGGCCCAACTCTGGGGACACGCTTGAGGGCCTGCCCCTGCCACCTGGCCTCAAGCAGGTGCTACAAAACAAGCTGGGCTGGGTCCTGAGCATGAGCTGTGGCCACCACAAGTCCCCTGCGCCCTCACCCAAGGCCACTGTCAGTCCCAACAGCCCAGAGACCCGGCGCTGCCAGAGAAAACGCTGCCGAAGGACCTAACTTATTTTCCAATGAAAACTGCCTTCTGAGGCTAGGACAGCATTTTCTCCATCCTTTCCCTTGGGCCATGCTCCAGAGTAACAGAGAGGAGTTGGGCCAAGCAAGGCCGTCAGAGGCTAGGTCAGGCCTTGCCAGGGGTTCAGAGGCCGCAGGCCCTGGGACCCTGAGATCAGAACTGAATCCATCCGTTTCCTGTGCGGGTGTGGCAGTGGCTGCTGCTCTCTTTGGAGTCTCTTGGGAGTGGCCACCCCGCTCTTCCAGACTGAGTGCTGGCCTGGAGGCTGTGGTCTGTGGCCTCATCAGATGTCACCTTTCCTGTAGCTGCCAGCCTCCGGGGATGTTGGGTTTGTCCTCACTTGCTTTGCATGTTGTCAGTTCCTCCTGTCTGAGACTGAAAGGTTGTAATAAACTCTTGAGTTTATACCTAACACCTCCATAGTGATAGCATTAGAAGGAGTCCACATCCAGATCTTTTCTCCCGTGGATCTGGGGAAGAGGCAGCCCGGCTGTCTTTCCCCTGAAGGTGCCACCCCCAAGGGACTGGTGCATGTCCCCCAGCAGGGACTTGGATGCCACTCAGCCCTTCCTGCTGTCCCAATTGGCCCAAGCCTGCAGCCAGTGTGTGCAGGGCCCTGCCCCTTCCTCCAGCCCCATGTGGCGTTTCCTCTGCTCATCGCTACCCAAAGCCTTTCCTCAGCTGGTTCAGACCTGGCTGAGCCCCTCCCCAGGCTGAGGGACAGTTGTGCTGAGTGTCTGCCCTCCTCCCCCACCCCTTTGGTTCCTGGTCTCTCCCTTGTTGCGGTGCCTTCTGGTCAGTTGGTTGGTGGGAGAAGGCCCTTGCACGTCAGGAGCTCAGATCCAGCAGGAGGTCAGGGTTGGTGGAGGTCAGGAAGAGGCAGATGCGACGGGAAAGGTCAGGCCCCACCCTTCGGGGCTGAGCGCCTCCATCCACCTTCACGGGGAGGTCAGCCAGGAGGGCCAGGCGCTCCTGGTCAGTGCCGCAGGCCAAGTACGCCTAGGGCAGGCACAGGGGTGAGCAGGGCAGGCCTGGGGAGCTGGCCTCCGTGTCTGGGAGTCTAGGAGGGAGCTCACCTGCTGCAGAAGGCGGGGGGAAGGGAAGGCAGTGACAACAGCATCAGCCACAGCCGGGCTGACTCGGTTGAACTGCCTAATCTGTCGCCACCAGGCTCCCCGAAGCCCTGTGCCTTCTCTTGTCACGCGCTCACCTGCTGCCCAGCGCCCAGCTGTGCAGAAGGAAAAGGCCCCGGACTCTTGTAACTGCCTGATGGGGAGAGCACAGGAAGGTTTCTAGAGGCTTCCTCTCCTGACCGCCCAGTCCCCAGCTCAGCCCTCTGGCCTTAAGAGGCTCGGGAAGTACCACCCCTCCAGGTGTTCCTGTTACTCCCAGTAGCAGCCACCAGCTGAAGAGGGGGTCACACACTTGAAGGGGCGCTGGGCGAGGGCTTTGGTGAAGGCGCACACATGCTGACTCAGCTCCTGCCAGGAGGCCACCAGCAACACATCCAGGTTTGCCCAGAGCTGCAGGAGCACCAGGGCCTGAGGAGGACACAAGCCCATGAGGATGGGTCAGAGGGAGACACCAGCTGAGACAAGCCTCACATGCCACCCTGGCACCAACACCCAGGTGCTGGGCCTCAGACCAGCCTGTCAGGGCCAAGGCCAACCACCTCTCCCAACGTGCTCTGTCCTCACCTCCTCCACTTCAGGCCAGCTGACCGCCACCTCCGCACGGGCTACCCCTGGACTCGCTGGCTGCTGCATCTCCTGGGCACGGGGCTGGCGAGACCTGAACAGAGGTGACTGTCCCTCCAGCTCCCCATATCCCATTGGTCCCACTCTCCTCGAGTCCTGCTTCCTCCATAGCCCACCCAAGGGAGGGGTTTAGCAGCCCCAGAGCTACCTCCATCCTTTCCCTGAACTCCGCCCCCCTTCCCCCAGCCAGGCCTGCTAGGGTGTGAGGGTGACTGGTACCACAGGTAGGCGTCCAGGCCGATGACAGCCAGGTGAAGGCAGGCGGGGCTCTCAGGAGAGATCCAGGGCACTGAACAGGCGGGGCCACAGATCTGCAAGCCAAGGTTTACCACCCGTTCCTGGAGCTGCGGTCGGCGAGGCTCACCAGACTACTGCCAGTTTGCAGAAAGGAGGAGAGCAAGAGCCACCAGTGGTGCTGGGGGGAGCCTGCCCTGCCAGCTCTCTAGAAAACCAGCTGTGTGCCTCTGATGAGGTCAAGGGGACCTATGAAAGCCCCCAGGCGTGTCCAAGATATAAGTCCCCATTCCCATTCGTGGTCCACTCTGCATCCCAGCCTGGCATTTGCCTGGCAGTAGGTACTTGACAAACGCTGAACCTCAGGCACAAACATCAGCTGGGCAGCCCCTATTGCTCCTTCCACCAGGTAGAGTCTGGGCCGCTGGATCTCACAGCTGGACTGCACAGCCAACTCGCAGCCCAAAGTCCCCAGGCCCCCTCTCACCAGTTCCCCACTTTTGGCTTCTGACTCTCCGGAGACCCCTCGTCACCCTTCTGGTCTCTAGAAAAAGCTGTGGCTCCTGTCTGCTCCCGGCAAGAGCCCAGCCGGCTTCCCTCATCTCATTCACATCTTGGCTGCTGAACAGAGAGGAGCCCCAGCCCACTGCATGCCCTCTCCAATCCTCCTGCCCTTGGTCAGGACTGGCAGAACAGCACATCCAGGCTGGGAATCCAGCCCCCCTCCAAGCACCTGGGTCAGCTGGGAGACACCCTGCAGAAACTCCTCAGGCTCCAGCAGCAGCAGCAGACGTTCCTGCTCCCCCGCAGCCCACACTTCAGGAGGCACCTACAGGGATATTCAGGGGTCCTGCTGCTCAGCCTCAGACTCGTGTCCCAGGGCCTTGGCACAGGCAGCACAGCACCTTGAGGCTCTTGACCACAGGCAAGCATCCATGCCCACAAAGATCCACAGAAGCCAATGTGATCTACCACGGCCAAGACCAGCCCTGGTCCATATGGCCGGCAGGAGCACTGAGCACAGCATCAATGGGGAACATTTCTCAGCACCAGATGAGTTCACACTCTGGACTCAGGCCTGCAACTGACCATTGTAGTGGCTTGGGCATCATCCTCGCAGCAGCATCCCCCATTCTTAGCTTATGTGCATGACTACAGCAACTGTCTGATGAAACCACAGAGATAAAACACCCTCCCCAGGGCCGGGCTATGTAAACCCTGGAAATGAGGCTGCTGGGGCACTCACACTGCGGGGGCAAGGTTCTGGCTTGACTCTGCTCCACCTGAGGCTCCGGGCGGGGCGCTGGGGCTCGATGTGGTACTCACAGCCCAGGGAGCCCAAGGCCTCCATCAGGATGTCAGCACCAGCATCTTCCAGGATGGCTAGGGTGAGCGGAAGAGACAGCTGTCATTCCTTTTCCTCCACGTGAGGATGCCGCTCCCAGCAGACCCCCAGCCTGGACGGCGTATTACAAACACACTGATTCTGCCGCCATCGGGTCCAGTTCCCAAATCTTTTAATCAAGCTTCCCAGTTGGAAAGCCGGCGCCAATTCTTGGCCAAGAGGCGGCCTTGACAGATGCCCCTGTCACCCCACCGTGGGCCGGGGATAACCTCCCAGTGACTAAGAGGAGCTTCCAAAACCCAAGTTCCAGCCGCAGTGCTGCTTCTCCCAGGACACCTGCCCTCGCGCTCGGGCGCACCTGGGTCCACGCGCACCGCCAGGCGCCGCAGTGCCTGCTTGGGCCGCAGCAGCCGCAGCGCCTCGGCCGCCGCTCTGCGTTCCTCGGCCGCCGCTCTGCGCTTCTCCGCCGGGTCCCGGGCCCTCACGGCAGCCTCTGAGTCGGCTTCTGCGCCGACAGGCCCCTCAGTGTCCGAATCCGAGATCTCCCAGGTCGTGGGCCGCCGCTGTCCCCGGCCCCGACGCGAGCGCCTTACCATCCCGGACCCAACCTTCGCCATAGTCCGCCCGCCCCCTCCACTTCCTGTCGCGCCCGGACGCCTTTGTAGAGAACATCAGCTGCTTCCGGTCGCTTCCGGACGCCTTTGTGGAGAACACCAGCCGCTTCCGGTCGCCTTTGTAGAGAACATCAGCTGCTTCCGGTCGCGTCCGGATGCCTTTGTGGAGAACACCAGCCGCTTCCGGCGGCGGGCGGGCTTAGCGGAGCGCGGCGGGGCTGCTGCTCACAGGGAGGCACCGGTAGGCCATGGCGCGCAAGAAGGTGCGGCCGCGGCTGATCGCCGAGCTGGCCCGCCGGGTGCGGGCCATCCGCGAGCGACGGGAGCGGCCACGCGACTCCCAGCTCTACGCCCTGGACTACGAGACGCTGACCCGGCCGTTCTCGGGCCGCCGGCTGCCCATGCGGGCCTGGGCGGACGTGCGCCGCGAAAGCCGCCTCCTGCAGCTGCTCGGCCGCCTCCCGTTCTTCGGCCTGGGCCGCCTCGTCACGCGCAAGTCCTGGCTGTGGCAGCACGACGAGCCGTGCTACTGGCGCCTCACGCGTGTCCGGCCGGACTACACAGCGCAGGTGCGTGCGCCCGCCGTCCCTGTCCCGCTCCCGGGAAGGGCTGCACGGCGTCCCCTGCGCGCGGCGCTGTGGGACGTGGTCTCCTGAGCGCTGCCCTCTGGGGAAAGCTTTGCGAGCTGGCCTCCTTCCTCTTTGCTTTGCAGAACTTGGACCACGGGAAGGCCTGGGGCATCCTGACCTTCAAAGGTAAGGAGTCCGGAGACCGTCAAGGGTGGCTGCTGGCAACAGACTGATTGTCCCGCAAGTGAGTGCCACAAACCCCGTCCTTCCTTCCCCAGGAAAGACGGAGAGCGAGGCCCGGGAGATCGAGCACACCATGTACCACGACTGGCGGCTGGTGCCCAAGCACGAGGAAGCGGCCTTCACCGCCTTCACGCCGAAGCCAGAGGAGGCACTGAGCTCCGTGCCCTACCCACCACTGCTTCGTGCCATGATCCTGGCAGAGCGACAGAAAAATGGGGACGCCAGCACCGAGGAGCCCATGCTGAGCCTGGAGAGAGTCCCTGTCCAACCCTGGGACTACCCTGAGAAGCAAGAGGCCAAGAAAAGGGCCCAAGGCACTCCTGTCTGAAGTGCCAGCACCAGCAGTTTGTCTAACGGGTGTGAGGCAGCGGGCACCATTTTGGTGAATTAAAGTGTCTGTGTTACTCCTGAATCGGCTCCCTGGGACCTCGGTGACCTTTCTGAGACTGCGCGGAGCAGAGTGGTACCAGACCCTGCACCCGTGTGCTCCTCTGTCCCTGTTCTCCAAACCCAAATCTGACGGAGGGCTTGTGGTTTCTTGGAGTGTTGGGAGGAGACTGACACCGTGGGATATGTGGTCTGGTGGGGGCCCCGCAGGAGGCCGCTGCTGGGGAAGCTGGAAGCAGCAGGGCTACCCGTGTGCAGTCCCAGCGCTGGCACCTGTCATCGCCACGTGGCAACCCTTTCCCAGTGTGCGGTGCCTCAGCCAGGACCGGAGCTTGAGAGCCAATAAAGGCAATTAAAGCAGCCCGGGTTGTGGTTTCTTCGCGTTTGGGGTGGGTTGTGTGCAGGAGGGGGCAGGAAGATTGACACTGTGGTGGGCCTGAGGTCCACGCCCAACGGGGTACAGACGTAGCTGTCCCGGGGTCCCCCGTTGGGCGTGGACCTCAGGCCCAGCCTCACCGCTTCTCTCCGGGAGGCCGGTACCAGGCGGGTCGGGCCGCGGCCCCTTTAAGCGCTGGCCCCACCCCCAGCCCGTTCCGCGCCGCACTCCAGCCGCGGCGCCATCATGATCTGCTTGGTGCTGACCATCTTCGCCAACTTGTTCCCGGCGGGTAAGCAGCGGCCGGGCGGGGGGCCGGGCCGGGTGGGCGCGGGCCTGGCCGGCCTGACGCGCCGCCGCCTCGCGGTCCCGCAGGCCGCGCCGGCGTCCAGGAGCGCACCTTCCTGGCCGTGAAGCCCGACGGCGTGCAGCGGCGGCTCGTGGGCGAGATCGTGCAGCGCTTCGAGAGGAAGGGCTTCCAGCTGGTGGCCCTGAAGCTGGTGCAGGTGGGGCGCGGCGCGGGGACGGGGACGCAGGAGGGGGGCGGGGGAGACGCGGCCTCAGAGCTGCAGCCCATCCCCTCCGTCCGCAGGCCTCGGAGGAGCTGCTGCGCGAGCACTACGCGGAGCTCCGGGAGCGCCCCTTCTTCGGCCGCCTGGTCCGGTACATGGGCTCGGGGCCCGTGGTGGCCATGGTGAGTGCCGGCCGGGAGGCGCGCCGGCCCCGCGCCGACCCGCGCCCTGACCCGGTGCACCGGCCTGTCCGCAGGTGTGGCAGGGGCTGGACGTCGTGCGCATCTCACGGGCGCTGATTGGGGCCACGGATCCAGCAGATGCCCCACCCGGCACCATCCGAGGAGATTTCTGCATCGAAGTTGGCAAGTAAGGCCGGCCCCGGTCCCGGGGACATTGCTATCCCCTTCCTGGGCCCCTGCCCGCACTCACTGGGCCTTTCCTCGCAGGAACGTGATTCACGGCAGCGACTCCGTGGAGAGTGCCCGCCGGGAGATCGCGCTCTGGTTCAGCCCCAAAGAGCTGCTCTGCTGGGAGGACAGCGCCGCGCACTGGCTGTATGAGTAGCCGCAGGGGACCCGAGGCTGAGCGCCCTGGACCAGTGTGGGTGACTTAGCAACCTCCAGGCCCCGGAGGCGGTGTTGACAGCACCCCTTCAGACCTCCCAGACCACAGGCGGGTCTGCCCAAGCATTGGCGCGCGCTGTTTAATGCGCCTGGAAACGCACCAGAGCGGTGGCCTGGCGCTTGGCTTGGTCCAGCATTTCTTTTTATAATAAACTAAAGAAAACCCTCGTGCTCACGTTGGTTTGGGTTCAGGGACACACGGGAATCAGGATAAGACATTTATTACACACAGAGCAGATACGTGGGTTTGCTTGCAGGGCTAAAGCCTGAGAGTAGTCACCCAGCCCCTTCCCCCAGCTGCATCCACCCAGACAACCCCGTCACCCATGGCCCTGTGGGAACAGACAAGGGACTGGACATACATCACAGTGGAGAGTGGCAGGGTGGTGGGAGAAGCCTACAGCTGCATGTGACTGCAGTGATGTCTGGCCGGGCTGTGGCATGGCTGCCCAAGATCTGTGCTTCTCTGGTGGGAGGTGTGTGGGCAGCAGGGCCTGGGGCTGCCCTGGTCAGTGTTTCTCAGAGCAGGAGTAAGGCCTGGGCCTGGGCAGGTGGGGAAGCAGCAGTCCAGGGCGGTGCCCTTCAAAGCAGGTGGGTGCATGCTCCTAGAGCCAGGGAGGGGGCCCTGTCCGTAGCCCTTAGGGTCTCTGCTGTCAGCCTGTCAGTTGCCCTTAAAGGAAAAGGCTACACCACCAGCCCGAGGCACTTAGTAACGTGTCTTGGGAGTTGGGCTCCTTTAAGACTGCTTGGGAGGCAGGCCCTGGAGCACACCTTCTTCCATCACCCTGAGGCTGAGCCTGTATCCTAGTCCCCCCACCCCCCACCCCCTTCCTGAGGCTTGGGTCTGCCCTGGAGCCTGAGAAACCCCACCCTGGGCCTTCCCGGGGTAGGACTGCGGGCTTCTACACGGTGGGGCTTCTGCCCCGGAAAGAGGACACAGGGGCTGAGGGCTGGCGAGAGCCTGCCACACGGTAATCGGGGAACATGAGCGCGATGAGGGCACCTAGCTTCTCAGACAGCTGCCCCAGGGAGCCTGCAGACATGCTTTCATGCCATTTCCTGGGGTGGCAGGGACAGGGCATGGGGACCCAGGGAAGGCTAGTGGCTGGGCTGGCTCCCTTAAGCTCAGAGCCCCCCGCCCCCTCCCCCGGACAGCAGGCAGAGGCAAGCGGGCCTCGGCAGTGAGGGCCTGCGTCCTCCCGGTGAGACGGGGAGCCCGTGGTGCAGGTGGGAGCTCCCTGCGGGCTGTTCACTCTGGAATTCTGCCGTGTTCTGGCCCTCGGTGCCCGGGTCTGGATTCTGGACCAGGCGCTGGCCAGGAGCTGCTTGGAAAAGGGGGTCCCCAAAGGCTGTCCCTCCCACCTCCCCGCCAGATCCGCTCTGCTGCTTGCGCCGCCCCTGTCAGCTCCCAGGCCCGACCTAAGGTGAAAGCTGCAGGTTGAGAGGTTAGAGGGGCTGGTGGGCGTATGTACACGACGGTGCCGGGAGGGGCAGTGGAGGCCTTGCCTCACTCCGGGGAGTAGGACACCTGCCACACGATGATGTGGCTGCGCTCGGCCTTGGACAGCATGGGCTTCACCTGGCTCACGTCCCCTGCGCTCTCCTCCGTCTCATCGTCCTCCCCGTCGCCTGCGGAGAGCGGATGGCGGTGAGGGGCAGCCCGGCCCAGGGTCCCCGGGGCAGCGGGCGGCACCACTCACCGATGCGGAAGTCGATGTAGCCCTCCCCGCCGCTCAGCACCAGCACATTCTTCAGCTTCTGGCCCTCGGCGTCCGAGGCGGGGGCGGTGGGCCCCGGGCTCTCGGACGGACTGTCCAGGACACTGCCATTGAGCGTGGCCAACACGTTCCCTGTCGAGGGGTACAGGGCCCGTCGGAGGACGGCCAGAGCCAACACGCAGGCTCCTGAGGGAGGCCACAGTGCCGCCCTGAGGGAGGGGCCCGGCACTCACCTGGCACGGAGACGAAGAACTTGACGGCGTCCCGGTGCCCGTGGAAGCAGAGCTGAGCCTGCGCCATGGAGCAGTAGGGGATGAAGCTGCTCGCCGACTTGTCGGCGCTGTCGTCGCCGTACACGTGGATGACGCCTCCCGCGCGGGCCCCCTCCCCAGAGGTGGGGGACGTCTTGTTGGCTGGTGACAGAGAGGAGCCGGGAGGGGCTGAGCCATCGAGTGGGAAATTCCCAAGCAGGCGAGGGCACAGGGCGGGAGCGGGTGTGGGCTGCAGGGCATCCTGGGTGGGGGGCTGCTTTCTGAGAGCAGCAGGCAGGCTGTGGACTTACCTCGGAGCCCCAGGAGCTGGCCTCGGTGCAGAACCACAGCTGGGGGAGGGGAGGGGAGAGAAGCAGTCACAGGGGAGCAGGACAGGGTGGCTGTGGCCAGCAGCGCAGCCGTGGCCTGGCCGAGCACCCCCCCCCCCCCGGGACCCCACCACATGCCCCTCAGCGGCTGCCATCGCCATCCCGCAGGGGGCGGTCACTCACTCTCGGTCAGCGGGATGGAGATGACGACGCCGTTGCCGGTGCCCACCCAGAGCCGGTTGCCCGCAATCAGCAGGGCCGTGATGCGCACGAAAGAGAAGCCCAGCTTGCCGGTGCCTGGGGGGGGGGTGTGGGGGGGGAGGCGGGGTCAGTGCTGCCTCGGGTCCGCCCTGCCCTGCCAGGCCAGCCCAGCAGCCTCACCCAGCATCTTGCTGACGTAGGGCTCGATGTCCACGTCCTGCAGGTGCTGGTGGGTGTGGGCGTGATACAGCCGCAGTGTGGAGTCCAAGCGGATGGACACCCACACCCCGTCGCCGATCCACGCCAGCTGCCGCACTTGGCTCTCCCGCCGCGGGTGGGCATCGAACGACTTCTGCGGGGTCACGGCAGCCGTCAGGGGCAGGGGCAGGGGCAGGGGAGTGGGCGGGGCCTGCACAGCGAGGCCTCCCCCGATGTCTGCCCCGCCCACTGTGACCTTGGCTCCAGGAGGCCCAGCCAGCCGCCCACACCCTGAGCCCGAGTTCAGGTAGCCGGATTCCACACAGGTGTCGACTTGACTTGTTTCAGAATGAAGCTCCAGACAGACTGGCATTCACAGTCCAGCCACCCTCTACCTGCCTGTGACCTTGGACAAATGAGTCACTTCCCTGAATGCAGATCCTCTGACCCCGTGGAGCCCCCACCATCTACCAGAAGGTGTGCCAGGAGCAGTGCTGACAGCAAGAGCCCCTCCCCCCAGCACTTGCCTCTATCTGCATCGTCTTGGGCTGAATGACGTGCACCTTGTTCTTGTAGCCGCACCAGACCCGGTCGTACACCACGGCCATGCAGCGGATGGAGTGGTGTGGGTGGCCCAGGTCCATCAGGTGATAGTTGCTCAGGTCCCACTGGCCATCTGCAGAGCCCACCACACCTGCTCAGGCCTGGCCGGGCTCCACATGTGCTCACAGAGCGTGGTTCACACCGCCAGGGCCCTCAGTGCCGCCCGCCTGCCCGCTGCTGCCAGCCTCACCTTCGCCGCGGTGGAAGATGGCTAGGGTCCCGTCGGCCAGCGCCACCAGCACTCGTCCCTTCACGTGCCTGGAACGGGAGGGCGGTGAGCCAGGCTCAGGCTGGGCCGTCCGAGGCCCCTCCTGATGCTGGCTCCCAGCGAAGAGACGTACACCAAGCTCAGCACGGAGTCCTTCAGCTTGATGGAGTGCAGGCACTTCTTCCAGTTGGAGACGGCCGAGTGCACGTACAGCCTGCAGGAAGGGGAAGGCTGAGGTAGGCAGGGGCTTGCCCAGGGGCCCTGCCCCACCCCTGCCCCCAGGGCCCCACGCACCAGCCATTCTGCGCTCCCAGCCACATGGTGGGCGAGGCACTGCTGCCGGCCCCCTTGGCCTCTCCACTGGGCTCCGGCTCGGGCTGCACATCACTCGAGGTGGCCTCTGGGCCGCTCTCACTGCAGGAGGGATGATGGCTCTAGGGTTCCCCACGGAGGCCGATGGCTGCCCACCTCTGTCAGCCTCCCCTCCCCTCCCCACCCTCCCCTCCGTCTCTGCCACCTCTCAGAGGCCCACCTGCCAGGCTGGGCGCTGGGGGGTGGGGCCGGGGCCGGGTCGGTGAAGACGTGTTCCGTGAGGGGCCCGGGCCGCACTGCAGCTGCCTCTGCCTCACTGGGCCCAGAGTCAGGGACTTCTGTGGCCTCCGTGGCCTCTTCCGTGGACTGTGAAGGGTTGACCTTCCCATTGGCGACAGCAGCCACCTCCCCTGTGGAAGGGAGAGGTGAGCTCGGCTGGACAGGGAGAGGGACGAGGGGGCAGGGAGCAGGCTGCTCGGGGCTCAGGCCCAGGACTCACCCTGGCCCTTGTCCAGCACAGGGGTGTCCCCTCGGGAGGAGCAGTTGCTCCGTGGCACGTTGCAGCGTGTGGCGCAGCCCACGAGGGTGATGCCGGCCAGCACCCCGTCTGCGCCCGAGTCCTCGGGGTTCACGTCGCTGTCCAGGAAGATCTCCCCCGGAGGGTAGTCACTGTCGCTGGCCGCTGCAAGTCCACACCCAGAGCGCATTCACGTTGGGGAGGGAGGGAGGAAATGGAGGTCACCTGCTGGCGCCATCCCATCTACTTCTAATCAGGGGGCGCCACGTGGCGTCTCCTCCTGTGTCCTTAGACTGAGCAGGGTGAGGCCACCAGCGTGGCTCCCCTCGGACACCCCCACCAGCTCCCGCGTCCGCGGGGTGTCCCCGAGGCCAGTGCTCCCCGCACGTCTCCTTCCTCCACACCCTCGTCCTCCGAGCGGCACAGCCCTCCCGCCTGGCGCTGGCTCTGGGCGGCACTCACCGGGGATGCTGGAGATGCACAGGACGTGGGCGTTGCAGACGGTGAACTGGTCCACCACGGTGCCCGGCTGGTTGGCGTCTATGATCACCACCTTGCTGGTGGTCAGGGTGCTGGTGAGGATCCACACGCGGCTGGAGGTGGCGTCTGTCTCGTGGAGCTCCTTTGCCTGTCAGAGTACAGGCGACCAGGATGGTGTTGGTGGCCAAGGGTGGGTGACACCAGCGGCCACCGGGGGTCATGGGGCCTCCTGGAATCTTTCGGATCTAGCCCTGACCATGGCCTTAGGGGATACGGCTGTCCTGTCCCTTAGCCAGGGGGGAGAGCACTCAGAACTGCACTTCCTATCTGCATTGCAGGCACATGTGG